TATGTGAACTCAATGAGATACATTATTCATTAGATGTGACAAGACGATCACGCGTGGGCGTGATTCACTTTATGTCAACAGGCAGCGCCGAAAGTTGATAGTGATAACTCGAGCTGCCGCTTTTCATGTGTGCTGTTGTGGACTGTGCGCGCTACTGGATATGGCACTACCGTGAAGCGCCGAAAGTGTGTTGTTGTGAGCATAAGTTGTTCAAGCACCATATAAATGAAAAGAACTACGTAGACGAGACAAACACAAGTAGTACTGCAGTAGTAATAGCAAAAGTAGTACTGCTTTACAAGTTTGTAAGCCAAAAGAAACGGTCACATAAGGACTGAAGAGGTAGAACACTACTAACGAGGCCTCTTACCCCTGTCCCTCCTACCCTGCGCCCTAATGTGCCCCTGGGAGTACGTGAGTCGGTCCGGGGGTACGGCACGGCTAACCCGTCCTGCCTGTACAGGTGTGACCTCTGGCTGCTCCTGAGTGTGCGCCTCTGGAGCTCCTCCAAGCTGAGAGGAGCCTAGTACGTCCTGGTGGTCTGCACCGTGCAAGTCGTCGTCGTAGAACTGGCTAGTAGGACCAGTCCTACCGGCGTGAGACGAAGAGGCCCCAGTACCGAAGATCCCGGCTGCAAATCCTGCTGGACAAGGACCATCAGTTTCGTACAGGTATTTAACAGTATTAATAAAAAGTAAAGTACCGTGTGGGTGAGGGATCGACGCTCCGTGGGAGGAAGAGCTGGCGAACGCGCCCGAAGAGGTGGCGAACGCCCCTGCGGAGCTCGCGGAAGCGCCGGTCGTGCCTGCGAACGCGCTCGAATGCAGACGAGGTCCTGCGATGAGGAAACGTGCAGTTAAAACATGGTGACACATTCGTGCAAAAGCTGAAACAAAAATGAACTAATATCTGGGCTGAACTGTACCGTGCGAAACCGGTGCTGTAGGTCGCACTGCTCCGAAGCTAGGGGCGCTCGAAGACAAACGAGGTCCTGCTCCGACGGTAGGCGCGCGAGGCCGTGGGTGTACCGGACCAGCTGGAGGTACGACGTCCACGGCGCTGCGACAGGAGAAGACGCGCATGACCGCACGCATCTTCTCCTGCATCCGGTCGAAGGTCGCCCTCTGCTCAACGTCAGTCAAGCGCAAACCTCTGTTCAACCTCACCTGGACTGCGGTGATATCGGCACTGATATCCCGTGCCGCATCAGCCTATGCAAGATGGAAATAAAAAATTCAGTAGTTGTCCTATATTATGCAAGATAAATGACATAATTATTGGAAGTAATACAAATTGGACGTACCGCCACGAAGTAGTCTCGGTCACGGTGCGTGGGATACGCGTCCGTGATAGCGGCAACGTGCGGCTCTGGGGCGTCTGGAGTGAAGGTCACACGCGAACGAGTGCGAGGAAGGTACCAGCGAAGGTAGTCACGGTAGTTCTCCTCCGTGTGTGGGAAGAGCTCGTTGATCACCTCCTCTGTAGCTAACACCCAGTCGTCAACGTACTGCTGTACACGTGGAGCCCAAAGTGCGCCTGCTAGCTGTCCCCGTCGAGTCAACCTGTGAAGAGAGGTAAATTGTATGGCTCGATGATGTAATTACCATAAAAATTTAGAAATGAACAATCCGAACTCACGAGTGGTCGGCAGGGGGGACGGTCGGCTGCACGTTGCCCGGAAACACCTGCCTAAGTCCGAACTGTCTCATCACACGCTGCGGGCAGTGAGGCTCAACGAAAATGTCGAACACCATCGGCAGGATGGTGAGCCAGTAAGCCTGGTCGCGTGTGCACAAGGACGAAAGTCCTAGCGGTGCTCTCGCAGCGACGGCCTCTTCTGTGTACGGCTCCCAGATGACGTCGCTCGGCTGGAGACGGTCAAACTCGAACACGAAGTCCGGGTAACCACGTCTCACCTGGACGTGAGCGTAACGACGCTGCAATAAACATGATAGGAATTAGACATGTTATGTGAAGGAAAAAAAAAGAAGAGGACTGATAAACTTATAACGCAGCGACAACTCTATGTCTCCGTGCCTTTTTGATTTTATCTTCCATGTACTTTGTCACTACGTTGCCAAACACTATGTTGTTATCGGCCATGGACGGACCAATTTTCTTGTATCGATCCCTAAAGTAGGCTTGCGTGCCGTGAAGGATGAATTCAACAATAGCAACCAATGGAAGTACCCGAACTCCTCGCATTACCCAGTTGTACACCTCTGCCAAATTGGTTGTCATTATGCCATACCGAGATCCATCGGTGTCGAACAATAGAGCCCACTTCTCCTTAGGCTCATTCTCAATCCACTGAGAGAAATTTCTGATGGCCGACCCTGACCTCCTTCTCATTGTTGGTGGGTCATCATGTAATGCACCAAGAGGTATGGGAGGCTCGTCACCTTCAACTTGTGGTCTGCGAGATTGCTCATCTGTTTGCTTCGTTGTCAACTCATCCAACTTGTCCCACAACTCATTAAATTTCTTCTCTTGGTTCTGTGCACAGAGCCTCTTAAAGAGATCCATAAGATGCTTGTTCTTGAATTGCTTGTAGAAATTTGCACCCATGTGACGCATGCACCACCGACTCCGAACATCAGGCCACTTAGCTGGAAGTCCCTTCTCATCCCAACCGTTCTGCAAGTAGTCAATAGCCCGCAACATACCCGCATGACGATCATGTATAAGGCAAACGTTGGGCCTCATACGCACCACTGCAATGTGCACTCTCTCTAGGAACCAGTACCAGCTTTCAGTGTTCTCGCTCTCTACAAATGCGAAAGCCATAGGTAGAACCTGGTTGTTCCCATCACACCCAATTGCTGTCAATATCTGACCTCGGTATTTACCTGTCATAAAAGTTCCATCTATGCATAGAACAGGTCGACAATGCACAAAAGCATTGATGCAAGCACCCAATGAGAAAAAGGCTCTTTGCAGCACACTCTTTGTTCGATCTTCAACCGATGTAAATGTATGTAGGTCATAGTAAGTATTATTATTCCTCTGGGCAATGGTGGCTAACAAACGAGGCAAATTATCATAAGAAGCTTCAAATGTGCCATACCTCATCTCAATGATCTTTTGTTTGGCTCTCCAGGCCTTTGCATAGCTTATGGTGTACTTGAATTTGTTCTCGATGTGCCTAATAATTGATTTTGGTTCAAAGCCAATGTTACCAACAACACTGCTGTACATCTCACTTGCCACAAAAGCTGAAGTGATGTTTCGGTGATACTTCTCCACCCCTTGTAAGTAGCACTTGTGCTCGGTCACAATGCTAACTTTCCAATAATCATTCCATTTACCCTTATATGCATGGACACGCCACGGACAATCTTCCTTCATGCACCTCACTTCATACACATAATTTGTTGACTTGACCACCCTAAACTCTCTCTGCAATGAAACTGCCCAATGCTTCACCGCCTCCTTCATCTCATCCTTATGAGCATACCTTGCACCCTCAATTACCTCGTTCTCCTTATACTCCCAGGGTACATGATCACCCTCTGATATAACAAGACCAGAGAAGTCCTCATTTGCCCAATCAGTGGCCATTACATCACCTTCCTCATCGGATGATGCGTCGTCCTCCGCTTGCTCATTATCCGAATCTTCCCTCTCCATTTCATCAACAATTATACCGACTCTCTCCCCCTCATCCGCCATGCCCATGGCCTGCTCCTCCCTTGGTTGATTTTCCTCATTTTGCATCGATGGTCCAACAACATCCCCTGCATTGCTAGGACCCTCCACATCTTCGGTTTGCATTGAAACATTTGTATCTTTCTCTTGTACCGACACAAATATAACGAGGGGCCATGACCGTTCAAAAGCCATTTCCACATACCGTCTCCAAGCAGCAGTGCTGTCCATCGGCATTAGTTCCCAAAAATAACCTTCTATTGCACGACTCACTACAACAGATACTGACATTGTGTAGACTTCTTGGTCTATTCTAAATCCTCTCAACAACCAACTATAAATTGACTGAAATGTTCTCTCCGCAGGCCTATCGATGCCCTTAGATGTCATTACAAAATCTGACAGATCAACACCATCTGGACCAAATCTAATATTTCCTTCACCGTGAACTATCTGAAATGTGACCTTACTTGACATTGTGCCTGATGAAAACAATAACTGCGTTAACCTCGCATTTCTGTACTACGCCCTAAGTTACATTCTCTACAATATTGTTCTCTAAATTTCTAAAAGTAGGTTACATTCTCCAGATCAAACTAAACTACATCTTACAATTAACACTACTGTCTATGTCTCAATTCATACTATTATATTCTATGCTCTGGATCTACACATATGTGCTGTGTGCTACAGATCTGCTAAAATATATGGAACTAAAACTAAAACGCAACATATGTACTCAAACGTAATATATTAGTACAAATGCAAAAGATGTATGGGAGCATACCTGTGATGAAGTGAGCGAACCAGCAGGGCTTCGCCGCTCCCCTTCTGCTGCCCTCCCCTCTCTCTCTCTTTCGTTTTTTTGGATTTTTAGTGAATATAATGAAATTTCACAGGGGAGGGGCTGGGCTTTATAGGGGGGAGGCAAAAATCGCCCTCCCCCAGGGCGGCAAGGGGGCCGCCTGCAAAATTCCATGCCCCCTCGCCGCCCATTTGCAGGCGGCCCCCCGCACAGTACAAAATCGCCCTCGCGGAGGGCGGCAAGGGGGCCGCCTGCAAAATTCCATGCCCCCCCTCGCCGCCCATTTGCAGGCGGCCCCCCGCACAGTATAAAATCGCCCTCGCGGAGGGCGGCAAGGGGGCCGCCTGCAAATTTCGTTGACGGCCGTCCCCCGAGAGCGAACGGCCGTCTGCCACGTCATTTTCGCCGCCCTCTGGGAGGGCGATTTTTAAAAATCGCCCTCCCAGAGGGCGGTAGGCGACTATTTCCGTCAATTTTCAAAATGGAAAATTATTTTTGTAAAACTTTTAATAAAAAAAATTATAAATAAAAAAAATTCCTCTCCTCTTCCCCTCCTCCTCCTTCCTTCCCCTTCGTCTCCGATTCGATTCGCATCCCGTCTACTGACCACACACGGCCGGACGGAAGACCCGAACCGTATCGCCTCCACAATCCATCCCCCAGAACCATACCACGCGTTCCCGTTCCCCTCCTAAATACTCGATCAATATCAATCAATCTCCGCCAACTCCCTCGAATCGCTCCTGAATAACTTAGTTTTCTCTTGTTAGATTAGGGTTTCGAGTCTTTCGACGTCCTGCTTGCTTGCAGGGAGATTCTGATGCCGAAGAAGCCGTCGCTGTCGCGGGTTGCTTCAGAGACGCGGCTGCTGTTTTCTAGCTGGGAACCTGAATCCCCGTTGGATGCTACCAGCGGATCCGGAAAAGATGCACCCGCCGATCAACAGGAAGGCGACGGGAAGCGGGGCCGACAACGCTCGCCTGGTGACGAAGCGAGGCCTAAGCGGCAGCGCAAGACGAAGAAGAAGAATAAGAAGCAGTTGGATTTATTGGAGCGGGAGGACGATCCCCTAATCCAATTGAGGTCATTGAAGGATCGATTCAAGGGTCGATTGAAGGAGGGCGTTGCTTCAGCCCGATTGAAGTGTTTAGACACACTATTGAATGAGTCGAGGGATTTATCGCAGGGGAATGAGTCCAAGGGGAATTTGTTGAAGAGCCTCATTCAAAAGGCAGAGTTGGATTTGTGGCAGGTGAAGGAACTGGAAACCGATCCCACGTCCGGTGCTAGCCAATCCAAAGAAGAAGCTTCTGCTGCAGCTTCTGATGGACAGGGAGACGATAAGGAAAGGGGTGACTTGCAAGCAGTCGAGGCCTATGGTTCTCCTCCTGGTAAGGAGAAGGTTGACTTGCAAGCAGCTAAGGACTCTTCTCCCACTGCTGGGAGGAAGGGAAAGGGCAAGCGTATTATAGGGTATGAAGCACAACAGAAGGAAAGCAACATTCAAGATGTTAAAACATCAAGTCAACAAGAAACTAGAAAGCCAAAGAGGAAGAAGCAGAAGAAGAGGCAGAGGCGCAAGATGGAGGAATCCACGGAAAATCTATCATGCCGCAGTGGCAGCAGCCCATCCTCTTCTCATGATGCAACAAGCACATCGACAATAGAGGGGGAGCCAGAACAACCATCTTTTGGGGATCTTGCGAGCATTGCACAAGACCATGATGACAAGATTGCATCTGACGTTGTTGACATCAAACAAGAACAAGAATCAGCAGAAGATATCCTAGCTCTCCTCGACATGATGGATAAGGATGCCATCCAAGAAAAATTCAATTACTATCTCAAGCAGCTGGGCTTTGAGTCAAATGAGTATGATTTTTGGTCTGAAACCTATGAGCCAGAGCAACTCACTGCGTTGCACGAGCGGTTAGCCATCTACCGCATCGTAGGTTATGAGGTATCTCTATCAACACCATGAGCCAATTTCTTTGTATTGTAGTCTAATGCATCTATGTTTAGTTACTCTCTGATTCTATGTTGCAGCTATCAAAGGGTAGGAAGCTTGGCAAACAGGATATTGCAAAACTGAAAGAGCAGTACAATCCGTCCATTCTTCGTAAGGAAGGATACTTCCGGCACTATGAGGAGAGTCTTGAGTGGTACTTCGATCTTGAATGGTGCAAGTACTCTGGTTTTCAAGACTATCAGCGGCTAGTGCTTCATGATAATGTAGGTATCAACACTTGACTCCTCCATGCCAGCTAGTTTACTCCCTCCGTCCCGAAAAAAACGAATCTAGGACGGGATGTGACACATTATAGTACAATGAATCTGGACAAAGGTATGTCCAGATTCGTAATACTAGGATGTGTTACATCTAGTACTAGGTTGATTTTTTATGGGACGGAGGGAGTAGTGTTTATTTTTGTCTGTACTTGTGCAACCACATGTTTTGCCATACCCATGCTACCACAACTTAATTTAACTTTACAAGTTGGTTACATCTTTTATGTTTGTTTTTCTTATATAAGTACACTCCTTTTAATAGTTGCACTCAAAGAAAATATTGTAAAGCTTAAAGCTTAGGCTAGTTATCTGCATGGTTGTTATGGCGTCGCTATGGCGTCGCTGTAGCGTCGCTATAGCGGTAAGGCGGTTGCAGAGGTCAAGGCGTCCACTGCGCCTTATGTTTCCTCCGCCTTAGAGGCAAAACGAGTAGAGAAAGGGAAAGAACAGGAAAAACCAGTAGAGAAAGGGAAGGAAGAAGAGGTAAGCTCATCATGGAACCTAGTTGGCTTGTAGAGAAAGAGAAAGAAGAAGTGGCCAGAGACATTGATGGCGGCTGGTGCCTCTTCTCGTCATGGCGGCTGATGCCTGGTGGCGTACGATGTCTCTTAGGGCATAAAACACGTGGGTATGAAGACTAATGTTGGTCTTTGGTGGGCTGGTTGCCTGGCTTAGTGGGCCTTTTACCAATTTCCTTTTTTTTTCTTCCTAATTTCTCTACCATATCCTCCACTAATCACGCCTCAATCATCTCATAAGGCGTCGCAACGCCCTACGCCTCAGCGCTATGGTGCTAAGGCAGTGGTGGGTCGCCTTACCGCCTTAACAACACTGGTTATCTGTTACAATCTTTTGTAGTATGTTCTTTCAGTGACTGAATCCACATCTCCTAATTCTCATCCGTTTGTCTTAGCTTCATAATCTATTCCCATAATTTATGGATGCTGATATGATTTGACCTTTGTTGAATTTGTTTGTACCCGGTCTGTTTCCGCCCCTTAGGCCTTAGATTTTATCCTAATCAATGTAGTGCCATTCCCTGCAAGATATCATGCACATAAGCATCCTGTTCATTTATTGCGTGGAGAAATGGAATCATACTAATGCTGTTTGTTCCTTTAATTCACTGCTTTTATTTAACATGATGCTGTTCTCTTTTATATATGTTGTTTTTGACATCAATAGGGTCTGCAATACGAACCAATGCATGTGTTTAACCATTTTTTTCTAATTAGATGTTTTCAAAAGTTACAACTAATGATATCAAAGTTTTGAAATGTTTGACTGCACATGTTCTAGAATGAGATGAAAAGCAACATAGCAAATATTTGATACTTTATTAATGCTTTTTCTTGGTGCTTGTTATGTCATTATGATTAATATTGGAAGACTGGAGTAACCCAGAATACTCTAAACCGTAATGGTTTTGATCTGAGTCCGACCAGAGTAATGAAATCGTGCTTTAAAATTTTGTTTCGATGATCAGAATCCAAACCTAGGATATCTAAGGGATGTGCCACTACCCAATAATCATAACCAGGCTGGCAGTTCTAGTCTGTTAATATTTGTAATTTTTGACAGGGATGGCGACAATGCATGCAGCTTGTAGTAATTAAAACTAATTGCTGATTCCCTTTCCCATGTTATTTTCACTCCACTCCAACTTGTGATATGATGAGCTGATGTTGGAAAGGGGCATATTGTTCTTAACTTACATAGTTATGTACGATAGCCACTCTTTTTTATTACATTTACCAAACTAGTGGTCTGGCCAGGGAACCAAGCCACTAACTAGATCTATCTGGTTTTGATAATTACACTCATTATCATTTTGTGATCATGGATAAATACATTGTTTCCATTGGTTATTTGGACCAAGATCATGTTGTTAAGTAGTATTTGCATATGAACTTGCATTTTGTCATGTTATCTGCAAACTTTAGCTTGGTAGTTCATGTCATATCGAGTAGCTGATGGAAATTTATTTGCATGTTGGCATTCTATGATAGCAAGTGCCCATATTTCTGCATTTGTAATGTTCTTGTAACGATGGTTCTTAGGTTGGTACAGGTATCCCTGTAGATGTACAATTAATGGTCGATGTACTTTTGTGCAGGTTGAGTTCTTAGAGTGGGAGCATTACCACTTAAATTATAATACCTATGAGGATGATCTAGCATATGTCAGGTATCGTGCACGCTTAGCAAATGAGACTAAGGTATGATTGAATTAATCAAAGTGCTAAGTACTGGTCATATATCATCTTTTTCTGACAGCCTTTATTTACGTGATAGTGGATTGAAGATTATCTGGCCCGTGACATAACTCAGGCTGAGGTAGGATCCAAAAGCCTTTTGCACCTAATAAACTGTTGTGCAATGCATATTTATATTATAAGTCCCACAACTCATGCATGACAATTGTTTCCATTGTTTAGTGGCGTAGGGTTAAGGATATAGCTTCAGTTCAAGCACTGAAGATTGCAAGAGTCTCTGGTGGTGTCAAGGCACAGGCAGCTTTGGCTGGTTTCAGAGTAAAACCTCTTCTCTTGTTAATTTTAGGTGGAGAGTGTAATTGTAATAGTGTTTAACAATACTATTTTAAAATCAGGATCATATATGGAGCATTCAGTTTGATTTCAATCACTATAAGGATTTTGATGGTGTTTACTTCAAGATTTGGAAGCGGGTTGCTAAGAGAAAGGTTAGATTGCCTCAGTATGCACAGCAAGCAACTTATGGTGCTATTTTCTTTTGTCCATTCCTTGCTTGTTAATGACATATACCTTCTTTTTTAAAATTTCATCTTTTATTAGATGAATTTTAGAGAAGCTTTGTTGGAAGTGTATAGAGAAGATATGTTTCCTGTGCGCAAGAATGGTATTAAGTACGAACTTGATAATACTCAACTAAGATTCAAGTCGATGAAAGAAAAGGTATGTTCCTCTTCTCAGTTTTACTGCATTGTTTTGCCCTTCTTTGTTGGATATTTTTCAACTCGTCATCCATCCATATAATTTCTTCTCTTTTGTTCCTGTTGTCCAGTATGATGCCCACGTGGCTTGCCTTGATGAGTCGGTAAGCATGCTTTGCTTAGATTAATATAATAATATATATCCAGCTGGAGTATGTTGTTCATATTGATGAAACTTCTATGTTTGTAGGTGCCAGAAGATGAAGTTCGTCAGTTGATCAAAGAGGCCGTTATAAAAATGGTTAGTTGATTTATTTCCCTATCATATAAATGCACGCTGTCTAGTTTACTATGGGTCTATGGCGTTGAGTAACATCTTGAAGTTGGGTTTATTTGCTTATGTGGAGATTAATTTTTATCTTCAGAAACCAAAACCACATACCTATTTGGACTACGCCAGGAAGAAGTTACAGATATCAATGAATATCGATTTGATTACCAAAAGTACGTGTACTCTTCTCAATTATCAAACATGATTCAATGCTAATCAATGCCGTTTGAAAGAATTTTAGCTTTCTTAGTCTGAGAAATATGTCTTTCGTTTGAATTCAATAACTAGTAATCTGTCCGTGCTAATGCTATGGTGACATTTAGTAATCGTCTGCATGTAACGCTTATCATCATGAACATAAATTAATTTGAACATTTGCAAGAATCTGATTATCGTTTGAAATACTATCGATGCATAGACATTTTGAAGTTTATGATAAATGATAATACATATACTAATAATTGACCAAACTTCTAATATTAGGATACATGAGTTTCTGATTTATTGTTTACATTGCCACGTTAAGGACACTATTGTTAGGTTAAGGTAGGTCGAGGTGTGATGTGAGCATTGCTGACTAACATCACTAATGCTGGATACCGCATATCATTTGTCAAGCTGCTAGGAACACTATCGAATTCCTATCATTATATCCGGACAAGATAACAGTACAATAGTTAGAATATGTTTTTTATAAAATCAAACAAACCATAAAACTAAAGATAGTAGTAAACACTTATTAGTTGTAAAGCTTCCGTCATTCGTCACCGTACATCCGCAATACTCAAAAGTCTCAAATTACAATAAATTCTGCACCAAATTCACACTATCTTCTATCAACTGACCACCAGATCCACCACCTTGAAAATTTGAGAAAATCTTTTATCCTCTCTCAAGCATGTTACCAGCCTGCGCCCATATCCATATTATCTTCAAGCCAATATTAACAACATAATCTCAAAACTTAATTAGTTGACGTAAATTCCACAAAATTTTACGGATACTCACTGCAATATTCGCATATATGATTTTGTATAAGCTCTACTATGGATCAAGAAAGGACTACCTGGCAGCATCTTCCCTGGTTGTGAATGATAAAGCATCTTCCCTGGTTGTGAATGATAAAGCATATGCAAGGCAAGGCAGATAAAGGGTTTTCAAGCATGGCAATATATTTCTTCATATCATCAACAGGCAATTTTTGTAACTTGCCCATGCTAACGCTACAACTATAATAGTACAAATCAAATACATGGGCAAATGCTACAACTATAATAGTACAAATCAAACATATGATTCAGGCAAAAATAAAATGAATGGTTTAATATATTGCTAATTATATAGCCACATGCAAATGCATGTTTCCCACCATATATCTTGATTCAAGCTACATTTTGTAGACTCTATAAACAAGGCAATCCATTTGCATTTACATAATAACAAAGAATCAAGCTTCACTGTAATTGCCATTATAATGGTTGTAATGGTTCACATATTACAACCATTGCATTAACATCTTAATAGTTATTGCCGTTCAATACATTTATATATTTCAGTACCCTGATAACCACAAGAATCAACAAAGCTGAAACTTCATCTGAAGATTTAATAATATCAACCTTTTCTACTCTAGTACAAGAAGAAATGAAGAAATGAAGATTTAATAATATCAACCTTCCAACTTTTCCATCATATTAAAACTTTCCTACACACACAAACTTCCAACTTTTCAGTCACATCGTTCCAATTTCAATCAAACTTCTAATTTTGGCGTGAACTAAACACACTCAATGCCTTCTATCATTCTTCTTCGTGAGTGGATTGGATTTGACAAACAAATGAAATTTCTATAGAAAAACATGCATCTACTGTTAGCCTTGTGCAGTAAATTTATATAGAGTGGTTTTTTTTGGAGATTGCCATCCGCGAGTGGATTGGATTCGACAAATCATCAATTAATAAAAGCCCTAGTGCTACCCTTTTTCTCTTTTTTTTTAAATTTATTTTGGCTCCTCGTCAGCTGTGCCATGTACTTTGGCCCAGTTTAGTTCTCAATTTTTTTTCCCCAAAAACATCATATCGAATCTTCGGACACATGTATGGAGCATTAAATATAGATAAAAACAAAAACTAGTTGCACGTTTGCATTGAAATCGTGAGACGAATATGTTGAGGCTAATTAGTGCATGATTAGCCATAAGTGCTACAGTAACTCACATGTGCTAATGACGACTTAATTAGGCTCAAAAGATTCGTCTCGCGGTTTCCAAGCGAGTTATGAAATTAGTTTTTTTTTATTTATGTCCGAAAATCCCTTTCGACATCCGGTCAAACGTCTGATGTGACACCCAAAAATTTTCTTTTCGCGAACTAAACAGCCTTTGCAGGTGTAGAAGCTCCTCGATTGGGTGTGCAATGGAGCCGTTCCTTTTTTTTTACCGGTTCTACCGGTCTCAATGACGCGTGCTGGTAGTTTTACAAAAAAAACTCCTCGTGTTTGAACGGAATAGCGCGCACGTCCTCCCACCGACTAACATCATGTTCCATTTTATACGAAACAACCCTCGTATTTTATAGAAATACAACACGAAGAAGATAAAGTTCTACTCCTAGAGGGTAACGCTGTAAACATGAAAAACTCGAGGGTTTTTCCGAAAAAAACATCACATCTATCCCCTCCCCCCAAGAAATTTAGCGTGTGTTTGGTTTGGAGACAAAGTGGGATGGGTTAGACCTATCCCAGTTTTTTAGGATATGATGGTTCCAGTTGTCTGTTTGGTTTGTGGTATGGGATGGTTATAGTTTTTTGTTTGATAGAAGGGATTGAGGTGGGATGGGATGGAGAACTTTCACGGACCGTTAGGGCCGTCTGGCTCCCAGCGGCTAGCTCGCAGACGAGCGGCAGCGGTCGTTCACGGAGGCGGAGGAGGTTGCAGACGAGGCGGTGGCCGGACGCGGAGGCGCGCGCGGCGGCGGTCGCGGACGAGGCGGCGGCTGCGCACGGACGCGGAGGCGGTCGCGGAGGCGAGGCGAGGCCCGGACGAGCGGCGGCGGTCGGTCGCGGAGGCGGAGGCGGAGGCGGTTGAGGACGAGGCGGCGGCCGGACGCGGAGGTGGCGGCGGTCGCGGACGAGGCGGCAGCCGCGCACGGAGGCGGAGGCGAGGAGAGGCGCGGACGAGCGGCGGCAGTCAGCCGCAGAGGCGAAGGCGGTTGCGGACGAGGCGGCGTCGGACGTGGAGGCGGCGGCGGCCGCGCACGGAGGCGGAGGCGAGGAGAGGCGCGGACAAGCGGCGGCAGTCGGTCGCGGAGGCGGAGGCGGTCGCGGACGAGGCGGCGGCCGGACGCGGAGGCGGCGGCGGTCGCGGATGAGGCGGAGGCCGCGCACGGAGGCGGAGGCGAGGAGAGGCGCGGACGAGCGGCGGTAGTCGGTCGTGGAGGCGGAGGCGGTTGCAGACGAGGCGGCGGCTGGTCGCGGAGACGGAGGCGGTCGCGGACGAAGCGGCGGCTGGTCCTGGAGGCGGCGGCGGTCGCGGGGGCAAGGCGGCGGCGGGCGCGGATGAGGCGGCGTCGGTCGCAGACGAGTGGCGGCAGTTGCGGACGAGCTGACGCCGTGCGCTCGTCCCAGGTGGGACGAGTTCGTCCGGCTCTTTTTCCCGGATCGATTGGTCCCGGATCTGAGAGGAATATTCCTCTCCTGGGACCAATCCATCCCACCCACCCCTCAACCAAACACCCCTAAAAGTGGGTTCGTCCCATCCCATCCCATCTCATCCCAGCAACCAAACACTACCTTAAGGATTTGCCACCCGAGAAATTTAAGGATTTACCATCCAATTCGCTAGGATTTGATATTTAATCCGTTAGCCTTTTAAAATTTACCACCGAGACTGCGAATTTCTCTATTTTGTAACACTTTCTCCTCTTTTCCTCGTTTCGTTTTCTTTTCCTCCGTTTTCTGTTCTCTCGAGAGTTGTAGGACGGCATTGTCCCTGGCTTCTGCGTACAGATCGATTGGGATTCGGGAGCAGACACCGACGAACAAGCGACGCCACCGCCACACATCCCCTTCCGCCGCCGCCAATAGACAACCCCGAGCGCCTCCACACCACCACCATCCCGCCGCTGATGCCGGTGCCCATCGCTGGCAGCAGCACTGCAAAAAAGAAGCACCCAGTCCCATCGCCCACCGCTGGCAGCAGCACTGCAAAAGAGAAGCACCCAGCACCCAGTCCCATCTCCTAATTGGATTCTGGGAAAAGACTTGTTACAGGGGAAAAAACAAGTTTTGGAGAACACTTGTTGTAAAGGAATCAATTTGTGCTAGTCCTATGTATTTTCGCTCCATTCTGTTTTGAACTAGTGTTGTGAGGAAAGAGTATACATAGTTGTAATTATAAGTTACAACCAAAAAAATGATCAATTGTGTTGTACGTTGTACATATTTTTTTTTGAAGGATATGTTTCCGAGAAATGTCATGTGTGTTCAAGTTGAGAAATTGGTGAATCCAATATGCTGTAAAAAACGCGAATATTAAGGAATGACCTAATATCAAATAATTAGAAGGGGTGAGACTTCGAACCCAGATCGTCTAGCCCACCACCTTATGGAGCTAGCCGGAAGAGCCCTGGGCGTTTCTCGAATCCAATATGCTGTAATTTTGTTGGAAATTTTCACAGCTAATTGCTGGAAATTTTGACAGCAATGCTACTGTATTTTTTTTGACAGCATGTAACCAAAACACGAAAAGATAGTACAGAAAAAAAAAATTGACAGCATATGTACCCCGAAAATTTGACAGCATGTGACCAGAATTTTCGACAACATATACTCATAATGGTTGACCATAGATGAACAAGTCTAACAAGTTTAAATTGCCAAATCTGAGAATACCATCCAGATTACATATCCTAGGCAATCAATTTCAGATTACAAATTAAAAGCAACCAATTGCAGCATCCTCTAGTTCAGATTACAAAAGCATCCAGTAGCTGTTCATACAAGGTACTCCCTCCATATTTTAATATATGACGCCGTTGATTTTTTAACCAACGTTTGATCACTCGTCTTATTCAAAATTTTTATGCAAATATAAAAATACTTATGTCATGCTTAAAGAACATTTGCTGATAAATCAAGTCACAATAAAAAAATTATAATCATATAATTTTTTTGAGTAAGACGAAATGTCAAACATTTGTTAAAAAGTTAACGGCGTCATATATTAAAATATGGAGAGAGTACTAAGTATGAAGTGTTATCCAAAAACACTCAATTTTTTCCCTTTCTTCGGAGGAGGGGGAGAGAGAGGAGCAATGGTGGTGGCGCAACAAGGGAACGAGGGCACGCGGTGATGGGCGGTGCCGTGCGCCGCCGTAGCTTCCGCCTCTCCCCTGGGCGATGCGAAATAGAACAGCGAGCAGAAGGATGAATCGGTTTGATCCAATCGATCTGTACGCAGAAGCCAGGGACAATGCCGTCCTACAACTCTCGGGAGAAAAGAAAACGCGAGGAAAAGAAAAAAAACGAGGAAAAGAGAAGAAAGTGGCACAAAATAAAGAAATTCGCAGTCTCACTGGTAAATTTTAGAAGGCTAAAATCCTTAAGGCGAACAGGGCAGGCGGTGGGGAGCCGGGGAGCAAGAAATCGTCAGCGTGGAGGAGCTTGCGGAACTCGACAGCGGCGACCACAGCGGGGAGCTTGGCGGCGGCGCCGGGTTCGACCGCGAGTTCGCCGCCCTTCCCCACCTCACGCAGATCGAAGGACGTGGAGCTCCGCCGCCCCCTCCCCGCGCGCCGCCACCCCCTCCTCGCTCGTCGCCGCCCGGCCGCCTCCCAACTCCTCCTCGCTGTGCTGCGCCGCGGCCCCCTCCCCGCGCGCCGCCGCCATCTCCTCGCCCGTCGCCTCCCGGCCGCCTCCCACCTCCTCCCCGCTGTGCTGCGCTGCCGCCCCCTCCCTCGCGTGCTGTCGCCGTCCCCCCGCGCGCCGCCTCCCACCTCCTCTCCGTTGTGCTGCGCCGCCGCCCCCTTCCTGTGCGCCGTCACCGCTGCAGGTTCGTATGAAGGCCGAGAAGGAGGAGTTTCCGGTGATGGTGATGGTGGCGGGGTTGCCGGTGAGGATGGGGCCGAGAGGTAGTACGAGGCGTGGGACCTCTCCGACAACGAGGCGGCGCTGGGCTGATCTGGGGGGTGGACCTCCGCGGGGAGGCGTTAAGGAGGTCAGCGGCGCGGAGGAGCTCTCTGCCCTCGAGTCGGCAAGGGGACGGTGCAGACTTTGTTGGCGGCGGCGGAGACGAGCAAGGTCGGCGGAGCTGCCGCCGTGCGGGCGGCATTCGGTGGCCCGTGGCCCCCTACCACCAGTGACGGCAACGGGGGTCCCCCGGCGGATCCGTCGCCGCACGACCGGCCTTCGGCGGCGGCGGATCCGGCCGTGCGCGCCGCCCGTTAGAGCTGGCGCGTTTACGCGCCTCCGAGCCGCGTCGGTCCCCCCCCGCCCCCGCGGGCTGCAAATCTGAGTGAGCCGGTGGTGCTGGTGTGGTCGACGTGCTGGTGGCGGGACCGTACGTGGGCCTCGCGGTTCCGGGTCTCCCCATCCCAACGGCGAGTTGGGCGGCGAGAGGAGGCGGCTTGGTGCAGTCCCGTGGCGACGTGGGCAGCGAAGGGAGCAGGTCACAGTGATATCCTTCAATTGCCAATTCCCAGCTCCGTAGAGCAGTCATGACCATTGCCCTTTCAACTACTGGAAGGGTTTCGTCTGGTGTTGGTTTGCCTGCTGCTGTCACTTCTGATCGAGAGACTGGTAATTGTTGAAACTTTCTTTCGTACATTCTTTTGGTTCCTATAGAAGTCCTGAACAAAATCCTGTGGACAGGGGAAAGAAGACAGTCTGGTGGCCTGGTGGCTGGTGCCATAGTTCTTGCTGATCGTTGTGCTGTCTGCATTGATGAGTTTGATAAGATGAATGACCAGGACAGAGTAGCTATACATGCAGTTTTGGAACATAAAACCGTGACTATTGCAGGAATACATGCATCGCTAAATGCAAGATTTTTCTGAACATGTTGCATGGATGCATCGGTGTTGCACTGATGATGGAGGTATTTTTGTGTTTTTACAATGTTAAGTTGGCACTACTCTGATGGTTGGTGCCTTACTTTTTATTGTGTTGTGTTACAGTGTTAGCAGGGACATACATCGCAAGATTAAACACAAGTATTAAACCAAACTGAAATTCATGCCACGAATTTAATATCAAGTCTTGAGGTAGCTGCTTTCTCTCATTTTCTCCCTTTACGACATGTTTCTCATTCTTTGAATGATCAAACTCATATGTTTGGATGTCTGAATTTGGATCGACACAGCCGCTGGCGAGACTGAACAGATCCAAATGGTATGAGTTCTCTTCCTTCTCCTTCATTTTCTTTTCTTCTATTTTGCAGTCCTTCAGAATGAATCAATGCATCTCGGTTCTTAATTTGGAGCTGTATGCACAACTAAATATCAAAGCTGAAAGTAGAAAATCTTTTTTACTTACTTTACCATGTGGTCATGCAGATTTTTTATCAAGAAGCTACAAAAAGTTATAGGCTATGTTGAATGTTTCCTAATGGAGCTGACAAATGAAAGAGAATGGATGAATCCTGGTAAATGTGATTGTGTTCATTGGAGAAATGTAATGGTTCAAAGTAGCAACTTTTCCTCCAAGCTATATAAATATAATCCCGAACTACGGTCGGATTATTGCACGTAGACATAGCCAAGATGGTATATGGATGTGCTTGACCATGTTTTATATACATGAAGGGATGTGAACATCCTGTTAGCGACAAATTGAAGGCAAATATTCAGTTTGATAGCTCATGTCGATGGTACTTTCTTCCTGTACCCATTCAATATTTATTAAGCTTACATGTACAAATATTCCGTTTCATATATCGAATGCAATGTATTGGACACATTAATTATATCTTGAACATGCTTCTGTTTTGTCCTATTACCTTTATCTCAAGTCGTAAGCATGGCGCGACGTCTCCTCCCCTCCCGGTGTGCAACCACATCTCCTGTTAATTTTTCATATATGATTATTTTCTACTGGTTTGCTGAAATGCAAATCAGTATTTTTGTTTTATGATTGTTATACTTATCCTCGCAATATGGTAGATAATTGAATAGGCAATATGGTAGACAAGCAGTTTTGTGCAACTTATCCTTATTGGTTGTGGTTATTGTTCCAAATCTGCAGTGATGTAAGAGGAAACAATCTCACAGGGACCATTCCAGTGAGCATAGGGAGCTGCACTAGCTTTGAGATTTTGTATGTTCTTGCTAATATTTCAGTGATATTTCATTGTTCATGAGTGTCAGACACCATGACGCGAACTTCTTATATGTATTGTAGGGACATTTCATATAACCAAAACGCTAGAGAAATACCTTACAAAATAGTCTTTCTTCAAGTAGCCACACTATAAATATTCCTTAGTTATTGCAAATCTTCTAGCTTGTTATGTGATTTTTCGTTCGTATCTTCTCATGCTTATAGATGCTTACTTATAGCCTCTATGTTGTGCGCTTTCTATTCGTGTTACATAGGTCACTTCAAGAAAATAGACTGACCGGGAAAATTCCAGATGTGATTGGCCTTATGCGGGCTCTTGCTGTTCTATGAGTAGACCACAACATTTCAATCCATAGGTTCAGTAGTTTCTGTATGATTAGATAATGAATTCTTATATTCAAATTTTGATTCTCAGAGACCTGAGTGAGAACGAACTGGTAGGTCCTATTCCTTCGATCCTGGGCGATCTATCCTACATTGCCAAACTGTTAGTATCATCGGATAGACTTGCTTTTTCGCTGAGATTGTTTTCTTATCTTGAGCAAACTTACTAAAGTCATACCGCCGGTGGAGCTTGGGAACGAGTAAATTTAAAATTATGCTGTTCCCATTTGTGAGCAAAATGAGCCGCATCATGTTCTATTAATTTATTATACAACCATTTTGCTGCACCGTACACCCCAATATACCTTCGTTATATGATTCTTAGAGCATATCCAACAGCTTCTCCAAATTACGCTCTTTAAACACCGATATAGCTAACTCTCTATTTAATTTGGCTAGTCAAACCAACAAACTCTCTATTAGTTCTCTCCAAAATAACAATGGACCCACATGTCAGCCTCTACTCTTCTTCCCCTCTCTCTCTCTTCTCTTTCCTTCTTTTTCCCCTTTCCATGCCGCAAAATTGACGGCGCCATCGCCTGAGATGGACATGCCGAGCGGCGCTGGGCTTCCCGGCCCGACGCCGACGGGCACGCGGGGCGCGTCGAAGGAGAGCTCGGCCGCGAGGGAGCCACCGCCGGCGGCCGGTGCCAGCGGGACGCCCTCTCCAAACCCCGAGGCGCGAAGCACTAGCCCGCCCTCCCGCCCGCGAGCGCCAGGGACCTCGACGGACACCGCGTACCCTCCCGCCTCCGCCTCCGCCGCCGCCGTCCCCATCCTCCCCGGAGACGGCCACGTCCACCACGTCGTCGTCGTCGGTCCGGAAGCGGTAAAACGACCGCGCGGCGGGGGCGAGCTCGCGGCGGCGTGGCTGCTCCTCGTCGTTGCGCAGGAGGGGGAGGCGAGGTGGGGCTCGTGGAGGCGCGGTTGCTCCTCGTCGTTGCGCCGGAGGGGGAGGCGACGGGGGGCTCGCGGAGGCGCGGCTGCTCCTCGTCGTTGCGCCGAAGGGGGAGGCGCCGGTCTTCTCGCGGCGGAGGAGGAGGAGAAGGCGAGGAGGGAAGGGGTCATGGGGCTCGCCGGCGGCCACCGGCGCCGTCGCCGCGCCCTCGGTCACCACGCCGTTGCCGCGCCCTCGCCACCGATGCCCTCGCCACGTTGCGCGAAAAGTGAATGGGAGGTGATGGGATCCACGGATGGCAAGTGAATGGCACGTGGAGTAGGCTGGCCAAATTTGGCTAGCGAGGGAAGGAGTTTGGCTATTCTGGGATGGAGAGGCTGTTCGAGTATGATTTTTGTTTAAAATGGCTAAATTTTGGTTTGGAGAGTGTGATGGAGAGGCTGTTGGAGATGCTCTTATTAATCTTATGCATATGTTAGCGTGCGCAGCGTGGCACCGCGCTTAAACTTCTAGTATAACTAACAACTCTGGCCGTGTTTAGTTCTTTGGTCAAATTTTTTTTAAGTATACGGACACACATTTAAAGTATTAAACGTAGACTAATAACAAAACAAATCACACATTTAAAGTATTAAACGTAGACGAATCTATTAAGCCTAATTAATCTATCATTACCAAATATTTACTTTAGCACCATATTATCAAATCATTTAATGTTCTATGCATGTGTTGAAATATTTGATGTGACAGAATTTTTAGAAGTTTGAAGGTAACTAAACACGGCCTCTGTCAAAAACACACATTTTCTAAAGCACAATACATGTCAAGCCAACTCAACATTGAGCAAATAAATAAATTTGCTGCTACTCCAGACCTGCAGATTTTGCATGCTCGTAGAACCTGAAAACAAAAATGCAGTTTTTTTTTTCACATGCCAGAGAAGCAGGGGCCTACGGATGGGCTGGTGAAGGCTTCGAACACAAACCCGACAAGCACAACAGCGAAGTTGAGATCGAACTACGGATTCCCCGGTGAGCCAGGAGGTGGCGCAGGGTAAAGGACTCTTGGAGAACATCCTGAGCGCATCATAACGTGAGCCACTCCTAAAGTGTTCTCACTAACCGAGGACACTCATAGAGAAACTTAAGCTCGTAATTGAGGATATCCCTGGATGGGCTCCTCAAGATCTAAAGCAACCCGGTAGAGATACTCCTATACACAATGGGTGTCTTAGCCCACGAAGCCCCACTCATATTTTTACTTACCTATCCCTCTCTCGATTTTTTTTGCCGCCACTCCCTCTTCTCTTTTTCTTCGCCTCTCTCTCCGCCACCGCGCGCTTCTCCCTCTCACCGTCGCGCCGCTCTCTCTCCCTCTCTCCGCCGTCCTTCGCGTCTCCCTCTCGCCGCCAGACCGCTCTCTCTCCCTCTCGCCGCCGCCCCTCGCGTCTCCCTCTTGCCGCGCTGCTCTCTCTCTCCCTCTCGCCGCCGCCTCTCTTACTCGCCGTCGACGCCGGCGGCCGGAGGGGGCAGATCCGGCGCCGTCGTGGGCGGATCTGGCACCCCCGCAGCCAGATCAGCCAGGAGACCGTGGCGGGGCCGGCAGTGGCGGGCGCAGTGTCGGCGGAGGAGGCTGAGGCGCAGGCGGGGTTGTCTCCGGGTGTTGGTATTTCTTAACGATACTACTAGAAATATAATTCCCAGCAATGGCGCAGAAATACTTCTGGTATATTATGGTTATAGAGTTCATCCGCAAGCGCACGGATATACCATTGTAGCATTTCACCCGAGAGTATTCCAAGGGTATCGTATTTATTTTATCCCATGGGAAGATCATATAAAGAGAACTGGACTAATAATTTATATATTGCTTGTGATAATCATATTCTAAGTAGGGGTTAAGATAATCCAAGGGTAGAGTGACACACAAGCATAAACTACTCATTCTCATAATATATTATCTAAGCTAAGTGGAAAGAAAAGAGAAAGATAATCTATTCCTATACTTCTAATATACATAGTATCTAGTTACTCGATATACTAGCTAATACCCTCTATCCAATGCCCTCCTGGTACTTCGAAAAGCCACCCCTAACTGCCGAGTTCCTTACGGCAGCCCGTCATGACCATACAACCGGGGCTAAATACGGAGGAATACCCTCCTCAGGAAATTAACTTAGAATTATATACCGGCGTGGAGGAATACCCGTACTGAGCTGTCACCATCAGCGGCCCACCTCTCATCCGCAATATATAACCCCAAATAATGATATCCCGTAATCTAGACACCACGCCTAAACTACCAGATACTACTCTAATATCATCGTCATGACATAGAGTAATTGCATAAGCAAACATTATACCCGCACCAAAGCATCTCCCAGATAAGCTAGCCGTATATTCAGTATAACATGAACATAATGTAAAATAGGCATTCATAAATGTATTTAGAAGAGTATTCTAATAAAAGTACAAAGCTTACAAAAGAGAAGAGAAAAGCTGCTAGAGCCATACCCGAACTCTTCCGAAGGCTTCCGGACTCCTGATTTCTACTTTATTCCTATTCCACCAGCTAGATACTACTAAACTAAACTTGAGAGAAATGAGAGAGCTATTGCTTGAGGTGTGTGAGTGAAGTGAGAAGGTGAAGTCCTTAAATAGGCTGCCAATGACGGTTGTGGCGGTTGGAATGGTCGGAATTGCCCTCCAACCGTCATTGGCGAGTGATCCACGCCGTCCAGCCAAAACCTGGATCCAACGGCGCTAGGGGAGGTGCCGAACCTGGGGCTGGCCCAATCCAGCCCAATTTTGGCTGGTGGCCTCCTCTGTTGTTCTTCTCCGCAGACTTGTGAATTTTGGCCCAATTCATCGTATCAATTTTTAGTTCTTGGCCTATTCATACATAAGTCTGGTTCTCGACATCGTCCGATTGATTTATCGTTTCTGTTGATGTCGATTCTCCTTCACTTTATTGTCAATCTCTGCAAAAGGTTAGTATACCTAATACTAGTGGAATATTATTATTCTAACATATTTATGCATTGCAAGCATCACTAGTTCTCCTCTATTTTGGTAATATTGACGGTCGAAACTGATCGATAACGACCATCAACAAAACCCCCCAAGCTTGAACCTTTGCTCGTCCCGAGTGAAGGACGAAAGGAAACAAAGGTTTGGTTGTTGATCAGGAGTTGCTACTATGTTGCATATCTCGAAGATACAAGTGCAAGGTATATGTACTCTCTCTCAGATTAAATAATCTTTGGCACGGTGGCTTACCCTTACCCCTGATTCCCACGAGACACTGCTTCTCCTTGCCTTGGGCGGTTGAAAAACAGAACAGCAATTAGAGCACCAATCACCCAATATTCATTCAACTCTTTTTCCGAAAATTTTCAAATGATTTTTGCAAAGAAAACCAAGTTCCTCAAATGATCCACTCAGTCTCTCCAAGTGTATCAAAATGTATTCCTCACCAATTATTGCCTTTTTGATTCCTACTCTAAGGTTTTGATATGTGGAGCTCGGTAGGGATCAAACATGGCATACTTGCATTCACATTTATTACTAAGTCAAAAACTTAGACTAAAGCAGATAACTAAACATACTCAAGATCAAGATCGTGCAATGTGTGTGTGATATATGGTGAAAATGGTTTATGAAGGAAAATAAAGAAAATGCTTCTCCTTTGTGCTTACTTTCTTCTCCCAAAAATCCTTCTTTTATTGATTAGGAGAGGGCATGATTACATTTTTTTTTCAACATCATGCTCATGCTTGATGGAGCATAACTTTATTTTTTTTCATAACCATGCCTTTCCCTCCTTTCTCTTTTTTTTTTCAAAAGGATTTTTTTTCTTTTTAGGAGAAGAAAGCACATGAAAGCATGGAGAATTTATTTTGGTGGTAGTATGGAAATGGAATGGAATATTTGCTTAGCTCCCAGTGTAGGAGTTTAGCATGTGTATATATGTGGGTGTATGATCTTGATCATAGAGCATGAGAAGTATCTACACAAGTCACAAGAGTTTGACAAAGTTCAATGGAATGACAAGTAACCAAAATGTGTATGGTTTAATCATGATAGCACATTTTTGGCTCTGGCAGGAATTTATATAAAATGCGGAACTTTCAATTTTATCATTTTGAAAAACAAAATATCCGGAATTCAGGTCAAACTAGTATCAGGATCATAGCAACTCATATTTACTATCTCATATCTCGCAACAACTTAGACTTAGATCAGCAAGTACAGCTCATTTACCTCAGGTTCCCGATAATTATTGGCTACTTATATTTAACCTTTGAGAGAGTATTTACCAAGAACCCATATATAAGAGATATAAAACTGTCACGTCCCAAAACGACCCTAAAATATATCCTCTAAATTATGCCTAGAATAATTAAAATCCGTGTGAAAGCCTCCAACAATTAAAATGTGCAAAGTTAAAAGTCAAATAAGGCTTGGAGGATTTTTGTATATTTCCTAAAAGCCTAAAATGCGTAAATAAATTTTAGTGGAATTTTCAGAGCACAAATAATAATTATTAAGAAATAAACAAAGTTAAGATGGTTTTATAAAAAGAAAAACTCTAAAAAGTCCCCTTTCCCTCCCTCTCCCTCTTGGGCCGGCTCGGCCCATCTCCCTCCCCCTCCCTCTCCTCTCCCATTTGACTTTTAACTTTGCACATTTTAATTGTTGGAGGCTTTCACACGGATTTTAATTATTCTAGGCATAATTTAGAGGATGTATTTTAGAGTCGTTTTGGGACGTGACAAACCTACCCCCCTTAAACGGAATCTCGACCCCGAGATTCGGAAGAACTGGCGAAGAGATCGGGATGGGCTGCTTTCATCTCGTCTTCACGCTCCCAAGTAGCTTCTTCCTCAGCGTGGTTGCTCCATTAGACCTTGCAAAAACGGATTACCCGGTTCCATGTCCTACGCTCCATGGTGTCCAGGATTTTCACTGGCCTCTCCACGTAGGTCAAGTCTTCGCGAACTTCAATTTGCTCTGAATCGGCCTGCTCGGATGGCACTCGAAGACATTTCTTGAGTTGCGACACATGGAACACATCATGCACGTTGCCCAAGGAGGCGGGCAGCTCCAACTGGTAAGCAACTTCCCCGCGTCGAGCAATGATACGGAAAGGACCCACAAACCGAGGTGCGAGCTTCCCTTTCGTCTGAAACCTGTGTACACCTCGCAATGGCGTGACCCGAAGGTACACAAAGTCGTCCACTGCGAATTCCAGATTACGGCGTCGGTTATCTGCATAACTCTTCTGCCGGGACTGTGCCACCTTTAGATTATCCCGAATGGTTCTGACTTTAGCTTCAGCTTCTCTCAGGATATCAGTCCCGAACACTTGGCTTTCCCCAAC